GGGAATTTGGGGAGAAAAAATGGGAATTTGGGGAGAAAAACCGGGAATTTGGGAAGAAAAATATGGGAATTTTGGGAGAAAAATGGGAATTTGGGGCTGAAAATGGGAATTTGGGGAGATAAAATGGGAATTTGGGGAGAAAATATGGGAATTTTGGGAGAAAAAATGGGAATTTGGGGCTGAAAATGGGAATTTGGGGCTGAAAATGGGATTTTTTTGGAAGGAAAAGGAGAATTTGGGGTGGAAATTTTTGGAGGGAATTCCGAGATTTCTGGGAAAAGGGGAATTCTGTGGTTAAAAAAAAAGATTTTTGGGGCCAAAAAATGGGAATTTGGGGTTTTTCCAAGAGATTCACCTGGCAAAAAATGGGAAAATCGGGAGGGAATTGGGATAAAAGGTTTAAAAAACGGGATAAATGGGGAAAAAAAAGTGGGAAAAGGGAAAATTGGGAGAGGATTGGGATAAATAATAAAAAACGGGATAAGGAAAAAAGAAAAGGATTTAAAAAAAGGAATTAAAAAAATGGGAATAAATAAAAAATTGGGATAAAAAAAACGGGATAAGGGAAAAAAAACCCGGGATCCAGGGAAAAACGGGATCGAGGAGAATAAATAGGAGAGGAGAAATAAAAATGGGATCCAGGGAAAAACCGGGAAAAAATCCGAATTCCTGGGATTTGGGGCCGATCCCGGCTGGAATTCCCGGAGATCCCAACCCGGGAAAATCCCACTTTTGGTGTTTTTTATGGAAAAAACGCTGCGGGGCTGGAAAACCGGGAATTGCCGGGATTTGGGGGGAATTCCCGGGATTTTTAGGGGAATTCCCGGGATTTTGGGGGGAAATTCCCAGGATTTGGGAGGAATTCCTGGGATTTGGGGGGAATTCCCGGGATTTGGGAGGAATTCCCGGGATTTTGGGAGGGAATTCCCAGGATTTGGGAGGAATTCCCGGGATTTGGGGAGAGTTCCTGGGATTTTGGGGCGGATTCCCAGAATTTGGGGGGGAATTTCCGGGATTTGGGGAGGAATTCCCGGGATTTGGGGGGAATTCCCGGGATTTGGGATGAAATTCCCGGGATTTTGGGGGGAAATTCCCAGGATTTGGGAGGAATTCCCGGGATTTTGGGAGGAATTCCCGGGATTTGGGAGGAATTCCCGGGATTTGGGAGGAATTCCCGGGATTTGGGGGGGATTTCCCGGGTTTTGGGAGGAATTCCCGGGATTTGGGGGGAATTCCCGGGATTTGGGAGGAATTCCCGGGATTTTGGGAGGGAATTCCCAGGATTTGGGAGGAATTCCCGGGATTTGGGGAGAGTTCCTGGGATTTTGGGGCGGATTCCCAGAATTTGGGGGGGAATTTCCGGGATTTGGGGAGGAATTCCCGGGATTTGGGGGGAATTCCCGGGATTTGGGATGAAATTCCCGGGATTTTGGGGGGAAATTCCCAGGATTTGGGAGGAATTCCCGGGATTTTGGGAGGAATTCCCGGGATTTGGGAGGAATTCCCGGGATTTGGGAGGAATTCCCGGGATTTGGGAGGAATTCCCGGGATTTGGGGAGGAATTCCCGGGATTTGGGAGGAATTCCCGGGATTTGGGGGGAATTCCCGGGATTTGGGGAGGAATTCCCGGGATTTGGGAGGAATTCCCGGGATTTGGGGAGGAATTCCCGGGATTTGGGGAGGAATTCCCGGGATTTGGGAGGAATTCCCGGGATTTGGGGGGAATTCCCGGGATTTTGGGAGGAATTCCCGGGATTTGGGGAGGAATTCCCGGGATTTGGGGGCTCCTGCCCAGCTCCCGAGGGGATCCCGCGCTGTTCCCGGGGAAAAAACCCGCCCGAAATTCCCAAGAAAATCGGGAAACAATTCCCGGAAATCTGAAGCGGGTCCCTCCTCCCCCCCCCCTCCAATCCCGGGATCCAAAAACTCCGGGAATTGGGAAAATTCCCTGAAAAACGAGGGGAAAACGGGAAAAAGCGAGGGCTGGCAGGACAAAGAAGGGAAAAGGCAGCGTTTTTCCAAAAAAAAAACCCGGAATTTTGGGGAAATTCCCGTTTTTCCATCAAAATTGGGATTTTTTTTCCATTGGAAATGGAGGAGTTGGGTCGGGAGCTTCGGGGGAAAACACTGGAAAATTCCCGGGGTTTTTTTTGGGGTTTTTTTTTTAAGGAATTTTCTCCCCAAATCTCCAGAATTCATTTTTAAAAAAAAGGCGGAAATTCTGGAATCTCAGCCCAAAAAAAATAAAAAAAAACTTCGGGAATTTTTCGGGTGGGATTTGGGAAAGGCCCAAAAATCCCCAGGATTTATTTAAAAAAAAATTAAATTAAAAAAAAAAAAAAAGAGGAAAT